CTCCTTCCATCTTCGCTCCGCCTGGACTCGTGAAGATACTATACCATCATTTTCCCCACTCCTGCACACCTCTGCCTCCTCCAACTCCTTTTGTTTCCTCAGCATAGCCTCTCTCTCCCTCTCCGCCTCCTTCCTCTCAGACTTCAACTGCCTCCTCAACCTCTGCAACTCTTCCTCTCCCCCTAATATCACCTACCACTACCACACCACCGCACTCCTATCACCCTTCTGCGACTGCATTTCCTGCAGCCTAGCCTCATATTCCTCCTCCCTTGCCTTAGCCTCAGCATCAGCCTTCGCCCTCGCCTCTTCAGCCTCCCGTATCGACATCTCGTATCTACCCCAAACCACATCACCACCACACACCCTAACCGACCTACTCTTCCTGTCGTTTCCTCTCCGTCGTCTCGGCCTCAGCCACACTTCTCCTCCTCATGTACCCACTGCTTACATCACCTTGCTTGGCCGCCAACTCCTCCATGCAATCCTCATAGCTCACCTACTCCGTACTTCTACTTCCTTCCTCTCCCCCTACCACCACCACCTCGCCATGCTCTATCAACTCCTGCCCACTCCCCTCCCTAGGGTCCACATATACGAAGTTGTAGTTATTCTGACGACCTAGGACGACGCGGTCTCCATGGTGTAATGGGAGGGGATCCTGGATCGACCCGTGCATGATACACAGCTGATCCTCGCCTTACCCCATGCGGAATCACATCACCATTGAGATAGCAAAACGCCTGGCCAGCATAGGCCTCTTTATCAGCCTGATATGACCAGCAGGAGCGAGCCACAGCCAAGACTGATCCTACCCTTATGGTTGCCTCTCCGTCCCTCACAGTGATGCACACGAGGTATCTTACCAGGAGGGATGAGCACCATAGGATTCGCCCAAACTGACGGACCTATGCACGAAGCCAGCACCTGTTAGAAGATACTTCGCCGGCCCTCGGAGATCCTCATCATCCCCCTCTGAGCTCTCTATACTCCCCCTCCTCTTCTTCCCACCAAACCAGTTGTCTCCATCAGTAAAGGCGTAAAAGACTTTCCCTGAGCACTCACCGAGCGTTACCTTCTCTCCTGCTATTCTCACCCGTCAACATAGAGTCCTCATTGAGGTTGGTTAAGTGAGGTTGCGTGAGATCAAGCAGACCCTCCCCACTTCCCTTAGAGAGGTGCTCTCGTCTACTACTCCTATTAGCCTCTGCCAACCTCTCCTACCCAATAGATGAGTCCACCCTGGCCCACGACACCACGACCCTACCTCCCAAGATCGCTGCATTTCCTTCAACGCCACCTCCATAGCATGTATCTCCTTTTCGTGGCTAAACCCGCCATCACATGCTTCTAACCCTCCCTCCTACCTCCTCTTGAGGTCCTCTTTCTCTCTCTCATAAGCCTCTCTATCCTCCTCATTCATCGACCCAAGCGTGCCAGATCTACTCAGCTTACCCTCTCCCCCCATCAGCAAGGCCTTCAGCTTTTCGTTCTCCTACAGTAGAAATATCCACTGAACACTACCACGCCATCTTCACTTCCCGGAGCTGCCGGATCAACTTATCTTGGGGGTCCTCATTCACAACAGCTGCATTCTTAATCTTCTTAGCGCGATCAGCGTACCTACTACTACTACCTCCCACCCTACTCCTTCGAACCCCTCCCCTCCACCTCAGTGTCGACAGACTCTCCTCGTAGTTGGCACTAGCGGGGCTGATGGCGCATATCATAACCGTCTTACTTGAGCCCCCAAGGGCATTCTGAGATGCATCTCAATGATATCCCTCCCCTACCCTACTACCTGCAACAGCCTCGTCAGCTTACTGTCCCTATACGGTATCACCGTCCCCGGCTTGGCCTTACCCGTTGACTTGTCTGCTAACGCCGATATAACATTTCCTAGTGCGCTCAGTGACTTGTTAATCGCACACCCCTCCTTTAGCCTGTCCCCTCTCGCCCCGGTGTGACCAGCTTTCTCCGACCCTATCACACGCAGCTCTACACCGTCTTCATTTCTACCATTTCTCATTCTACTACTACTACTACTACTACTACTACTACTACTACCAGCAAGGTCCACCAAGTTAATCTTGCTCATCCTCACCCCCCTCCTCTCCCCCCATAATGCTGATCTGCCTAACATCGACAATCTCCCACCACTACTACCACCATCCTCCCTAACCTGAATTCTATAGCGATCACAGTATGAGCTCTACTGCTGGTCGCGTTCATCAACGTAGCGCCTATACTACGATTACTAGTCCCCTCCTCCACTACTTCTACTATATCAGAAAAGGACTCCACAGGCCTCGACGACACTCCTTCGACAAATACGCCTAACCCTTCGCTACAACGATGCCAGCCAGCAGCACTCCCACCGGCCTGCTTGCTCTCTCGAATGAGTAAGCCCTTCTTTGGCCGATCTCTAGGGTGTACCAGCAGGTCCTGTACGTTCTCATTATAGATCTCCAACATGGTAACTGACACCTATCAACAAGAATATGTTCCCTACCCACAATAGATGATCAACCTCGAATTTCAGTGCTTCTGAAGAGGTCTTATCGATCCTCCTAAACAGCTCTTCGCAAGCAATAGGCACTATACCCTAACGAATCACTTGTTGAAGTTGACGATGAGAGGCGCCCACCCGGTTCGGGCCGTACCCCAGCATGCTGTAGCTTTTACCAGACCCTGTTTGCCCGTACGCGAAAAGGCAACAATGGTATCTGCCTAACGACCATCCTGAGTAAAACTGAAAGCTCCTCCTACTACCCCTCCCACGCGTTATGCAGCACATCAACCCCTACAGCTTGGAACACACTTTGTTGGTCAGCGTATCGCGATGAGGGCCCGTCCGGAACGAAGGCCCCAGTGGGAGAGTCTGCCTAAGAAGGCCTCCTCTACCACTACGCTCATTAGCCGCCGAATCACTTTAAATCCATCATGACTCCAGAAAGAGTAGTCGAAAGTAAACCTCTTCGAATCGGGGCTGTCCTCAGTTTCTTTGTTATCCAGGTCGCTAACAATACCACACTCTCGCCACTTCCACCACATCCTCTACCGTATCGTGGTCTCATTCCCCTCCATCGCCACACAGCACCGTGAAGACAGCCCTATCTCGCGCTCGTTAAAAGGCCTCACCCGCACTGCCACTCGAACGCCCGACTCCGTCATCGATGAGCCCTGTTACATTCACCAGTGTCAAAAGTAGGCCAACTCAATACCACTCCATTAGGAAATGATGATGATGTTGATATTCCCAAATCTATCTTGGGGGTCTAATAGCGAGCAGAGGAGACAATCAAAGATATGAATAACGCACGCAGAAGATACTACTAGGAGGCTGATCACCATACAGATATCGTCACTATATTACAACACCCAGTAGAAGTGCAACACTAATAACTCAACAAACTAGCATGAAAATGCTACTATTAATATAGCAATGATGTTGGTGTTATACCCTTCAGAGGTTAGGTCACATAAACAGTATTCAAGGTTACTTGTTCGTAGAAAGCCTATCCAGTGGAATCAATTTTATCAGAAGATGCCAGCGCTCTTTTTAGCACTTCGTTGCTTCCACACTGGCATGGAGTAGAAGTCCTTTCTGCCCTTACCGAAAACAGCGGTAAAATCCTCTTCCGAGAGGTACCTGATCTGCTTCCCATAATCACCATCATCACAACAAACGCCTTACGCTTCCCTTCTGGCAGGGTTAACTCCGGCAGGAAGATTCTCAGCTAGTCCCAGCAGCTGAGAAGAACCATAATGAACAACTTTCTATTCATGATTCTGGGAAATATTGATATTCGAGATTTAATCATATTGGAGTTTCACGACCCGTTTTACCTACCCGTGAAAAACGCGATATGAAGTGAATAAAAAACACTTCGCGAGTTACACTCATACCACGTAAAACAGAGCACATATCCTACACGTTATTCACTAGTGAAGTTAAATGTGTTTTTCACTAGTGTTTTTACTAGTACCACGGAAGAAACTCCACTAGATTATCTGCTACCCTAAACCTTAGGGCCACAACAGACTACCACTATGACTACCTGTTGCAGAGGGTACTTCACTTTAGCTGAGTCGTCAAAGGTTCTCTTGTCAACGACAGCAGCAGCACTAGTGGGATCTAAATGTGCAAGAGTATAAGTCAGTGGTGATACTCGTAGTGCTACCAGAACTCCTGATAGTAGCGTAGTCAGTCGACAAGGAAGCCCGTAGGCTGCTCTGGAGGTAGCCAGTGTTGTGGACCTTCCACTTGAAACGAGTCTGGTCATCTACAGGTGGGCCCTCCACCACAGCTGTAGACGAGGGCGTCTCAACGAGGGTCTCCTTACTCTCGGGAAGTCTATCCCTCATCGCTGGTTCCTCACTGGAACCTGAGCTGATATCGTAAACCCATTTAAGGTTGATGATGTGTTAGCCCTACTAGAAGGTAAAGGGGAAGCGGCCGGTGGAGAGTAGGGGTTAACCTGAACTAGATACGTGTTGTAGTCGTAGAGCATCCAAGCTCTACCTTCGTCTGTGGAGTGGTCAGCTGGGAATCATCTAATCCCTCCCGCTGCGCAGGTGTGCTCTGTACGGCCTCCTGGCTGGCCTCGGGAGTGACAACCTTCTCCTCGGACACTCTGAAGATGGTGGTGATGACTTCAACTGGGAAGTTCCGCCCGTTATTACTCCTTTTCCACTACTGGTGCTGCTGACTTCACCTCGATAGTCTCCTCCCCTACGGCTGTAGGTACCTGACCGACTCTAGCCCATCAGCTATCTGCTATCGTATCTTTACGTCCTCCTGTGAGCTGCCAGCATCAACCTCAAGATACTCTACTGGCGAGTCGTCCCCTTCCATCACCTCTTCCGAGAGCTCTCCACTGACCACCGTTTCATCCCCTTCCTCCTCCTCCTCCTTCCGCTGCTGCTGTTGCTTCTTTTTGCCTCCTTTAGATTTACCCATATCTTACTTTCATCAATGAACGTCAAAGTTGGTGTTCGCGCTGACTAGCGGAGCGAAGCGATTCAGGTTTTGATTTTTTCATAGCTTTTGAGCGGAGCGAAGTTGGAAGAGACTTCCACTGCACAGTTCATAGTCAGGCATTACTATCGTCAATATGACACTACAAAAGATCGTAGTGAACACTACCTTGTCGGGGTACCACTCCCCTCTAACCTCCCTCATTGCAAGTGAGTAAAACATTGCTGATTCCCTCGAATGAATATCCTTTTTTCTGCCAGGTGCTCTCGTAAACCTCGTCAACCCCAACAGCGTCATTTTCCGCCATGTTGAGAAGATCCCTCGAGCTCCCGAGTCTGCCACTTTATCTGTGATGATCAACGGTGCTACCTCTATCCTCAACAGCGACCTTTCTCTGGCTCGGTTCATCGCCAGCGCGGCCCCTTCCAGCTACGGCCTCTATACCCCTAGCCCTCAGATGGAGGCCTGGCTTGACCTTGTGGACAACACGCAGAAGTTGGGTAATGATACCCTGAAGACCATCAATGATGAGCTTGCCCTCAAGACCTACCTCATCGGCAACTCCCTCACCCTGGCTGACGCAGCTGTGTGGGCTCTCATCGCCCGTAGCGGTGGCGCCTCTCGACTGAAGCCCTTCCCTCACGTGTCGAGGTGGTGGAAGTATCTTGAGGCCCAGCCAGCCTTCATCACTGCCATGGAGGAGTCTAAGAACAGCAGTCATCAGAAGTCGTCTTCTGCTGCTACTGCTGGCAAGGAAGAGAAGAAGGGCAAGGGCAAGGACCAGGCTAATCTCGAGAACAAGCTCCCCGGCGCGGAAATGGGCAAGGTCGTCACAAGGTTCCCTCCTGAGCCCTCTGGATACCTCCACATTGGCCACGCTAAGGCCGCCCTTCTGAACGACTACTACGCTAGAGCGTACAAGGGCAAGCTCATCATCCGTTTCGATGATACCAACCCTGCTAAGGAGAAGGCTGAGTACGAGCAGAGTATCATTGAAGACCTCGGGATGCTGGGCATCCATGGCGATCAGCTCACCCATACGTCCGATAATTTCCCTCTCCTGCAGAAGTACATGGAGAAGATGATCAAAATGGGTAAGGCCTACGTTGACGACACTCCTGTTGACGTTATGCGGGAGGAGAGGTCGAAGGGTGTTGAGTCTAAATGCCGTAATAGGAGTGTCGATGATAACATCGCCCTATGGCACGAGATGCTCAACGGTACCGAGGTTGGTCAGACATGTGTGGTTCGGGCGAAGATATCAATGACCCACAAGAACAGGTGTATGCGTGATCCTACTTTCTACAGAGTCATCACTGATGTTCCTCATCATAAATACGGTTTCCAATACAAGGCGTATCCTACCTACGATTTCTGCTGTCCTATTATCGATTCTATTGAAGGCGTCACTCACGCCCTTAGGACTATCGAGTATGCTGATCGTAATGAGCAGTATCACTGGGTCATCGATACTCTGGGTCTGCGCAACGTTACCATTTATGAATTCTCTCGTAGTAACTTCGTCCACACGCTCCTGTCTAAGCGTAAGCTCACTTGGTTCGTTGACAACGGCTACGTCTCTGGCTGGGATGACCCCCGCTTCCCTACTGTGCGCGGTGTGCTTCGCCACGGTATGACCGTTGATGCCCTGAGGGACTTCGTATTGACTCAGGGGGCGTCTAAGGCCGGCAACCTGATGGAGTGGGATAAGATATGGACCATCAACAAGCAGAAGATCGACTCTGTCGTGCCACGTTATGCAGCGGTTGGTGACGATGCTGTTGAGCTTCTACTTGAAGGAGCACCAACCACTCCTACTGGCAAGGACGAGCCTAAGCATCCTAAGAACCCCTCATTGGGCAAGCGTTTGATCATGTTATCGGATCATGTTCTCATTGATGCCGGTGACGCTGCTGAGCTCCAGAAAGGGGAGGAGGTTACTCTCATGCACTGGGGTAACGCAGTTATCGATGAGATTACTAAGGTTGGTGATAAGGTTACTAGTCTCAAGGGCCACCTGCATCTTGAAGGGAGTGTGAAGACTACTAAGAAGAAGCTCCAATGGGTGGCGAAGGTGGACAATCTTGCTCATCTCAAATTGAGGGAGCTGGACTATCTCATCACGAAGAGAAAGGTTGAGGATGATGATAATGTCGAGGATTTGGTGAACCCGAACTCGGAAGTCGACGTGATGGCTCTTGGAGATCCTCTTATCGCCGCTACCTTGAAAAAGGGCGATCGCATTCAGCTGGAGAGGAAGGGTTATTTCATTGTTGATAAGATTCCGATGCCTTCGAATGGCAATGTGATGACACTGATCAACATTCCTGATGGTAAGACTAAGACCATGACTGGCGACCTCAGGACTGGCGTGGACGTCACTTCCTCCTCATCCCCTGAGCCTAGTAGGGATGCCAAGAAGCAGTAGGAGTGTTAGAGGCGGTTGGTCGCCGTGCAAAGTAGAAGTTTCTCCCAGCAAGTGAGAGTGTATGTTGTTACAGTGGGGGGGGGGGTAAGGCGTGGAGTAGGCTTTTGTATGGGTTGTGGGGCATCAGTCGTCGGCTCAATGTCCAACAACAAAGGTACTCCGATGAACGATCGAGTAGAGAAGGATAGAGTAGGTCTCTATGGAATATGACTAGATCTCACTCGGGGAGTCTTTCAGGTGGATGAGGATATTATTCTCCGGGCTGAAGTAATACTGTAGTTATAACGAGAAGTGCATAGAATGGTCTCAGGGTGACGAGGACGAGGATGAGGAAGTCCCTCTGTACGACCCGAGATTCCGACGGTTGAGTCGTGCAGGTTGTGACAGTCGTCGGGAAAGTCTCCTGCACGACATTGCTGAGAGGTGGGTTTCGAAGCATGGGTGAACTAGATGTGGTGAAAGCAGACACTCCCGTCGGCCCTCGATACAGTTTGCCTTGGATGAGAACAAAATTACGGAGATTCCTTATGAAGAGGGGTCAATAGAGAAGGTTGAGGAGATCACTGCTGAGGGGGAGGATGACGATGATGATGAGGAGGAGGAATCAAGCGATTCGGAGCAGGCTGAAGAGGAGTTGGTACCACCATCAGGGGAGCAGGTAGGGAAAGTGGCTAAGATGATCGTCGTTATTTGTTGGCGTAGAGGAAGAGGAGCTCTCAAGGAGACTCTGGGCGTCGGCGGTCATCACTGGAGTTGTGCTCGATCGAGTCGAAAGCTGAACATGAACTGAGGGAACGCGAAATGGCTCATAGGAGATCTCTGGAGAAGGCTGCAGCGGATGGGGAAGCTCATGTAGACTTCGATGCTAAGGTGAGGAGAGGCGTCCTTTTATGTGGTAGTAATTTTTGTGTAGGTTGAAGTAGCGAGATATGACTTGTCGGTGGCGTCATCATCAGGGATGGCCAGCGCTTAGCTGATGATGACGAGGAGGGTATGGCGTGGTAATGGTTGCATTATACTTCCGCATGTTAAGTGTCATTCTTTGTGTCTACAATCGTTGTCTGACTTGAGTTCTCCAATGCTCTGCTGATGTATGTGCATGCGTGTAAAGATATGCATGGAGACGATTGCCAATGAGGGGACGGGTCCAGCTCGCGTTATGGCAGTAGGTTTTGTTCACTTTAGTCGTGTACGTTGGCTGAGATGAAAGAGCCGATGGGGACCCCTCCACAGTAGGTGACCTACTGAGGCGAGTAACAATGTGATGCCTATTAGTTCGCTAATCTCAACGAGAGCTGCTCTTAATCGCTACTACCCAGCCCATCCCGCGGTATGGCGATAGTGGTAGTTAGTCGAAATAGTCGCGCGCGCCCTGATGATCGATTGGCAAAAGCAGCCGCTCGTGAGAACCTCAGTAGAAGCTCTAGATATGTCATCGTCGCCTGAGGGCGTCAGTAATACAACCGATCCGTCCGGTGGTGGAGGTGCCGTCGAGCAGCTACACTCACATATCAAATTATCAATATCGGCTGATGAAGTGAATCTACTCGTGTACAGATATCTTATGGAGGCTGGTGAGAATACGGGAATAGAAAAATGGAATTGGTGATCACCTGTGGTCGACCTTGTTAGGATTCCGTCACTCGGCGTTCACATTCGAGGCTGAGTCCAGGGTGCCCCAAACCAGCGCTTTCGCAACTACCCAGATTCCCCCAGGAGCTCTGGTGTCGCTCCTACAGAAGGCTCTCATATATCTGTATATTCAAAGCCATTGTGGAAAGGTAGAGGCGCAGTAATAGTAATTTTGTTGATGAGGTGGTGTGTTAGAACGGCGAGCAGATTAGATGTGAAGGCTCCTTCAGTTTACTAAGGCCGCATGAGTAGGGAGAGAGTGTTGGTTGTTGCGAATAGTAGCATGTTGTTGTTGCTGGTGGCAGGCACTTAGTGCCGACAGCAACAGTGTCCGAGGAGGAGGATGAGGAGGAAGAAGAAGAGGAGGAGTTTAATAACAGATCGACCAAGAGAAGTGAGTGCATCGTGACGATAGTCTCCGTATATGCTGACATTGTAGCAGGGGTGGCTACTACTTTCTTAGTGCCTTCTGTCCATTTTATGATGACTTGACGGAAGTTGTATATACGTAAACCGTCATTGTTGTATTCCTCCAGGCAGCCGTGGTGGTAGTCGGCGTAATTCTGCGGCTGGAGAGGCTTTCACAGACGATACCAGTCTGGAGGACTACAATGATGATAGCAAGCGAAGACACTCCAAGGGTAGTCGCAGTAGTGTGGGGAAGAGGGATGAGGAGGAGGAAGAGGAAGATGGGGAGGATTCGGGAACTCATGAAGGGAGTAGTATGACCAGCAGTCCCCGTAGCAAGAGGAGGCGTAGGAGGAGACGTATGCAGAAGGAGCAGGAGAGGAGGAAGGGCGAGGTAGTAGTAGTAGGAGGCTTCCAGTCAGTGTTGAGATATTTGTTCATTTCCTCGGATAAGCGACTTCGGGTAGAAGTGTACAAAAACCAACGAGAATTGCCTCAGAATTTTTATATTCTCACCAACACGTGTAGTTGCCGATGGGCATATTTCCTAACACTGTTTTCAGGAGACCGACGGAAGTCAGAGTAGCGCGTCGGCGCAAAGCACAGGGAATGTGAAGGACACTGCAAGTGAAGTGAAAGCTCAGGAGGAGGAGGGGGAGGTAAGTAGCCCGATGTGTGGTAGTGTTGGGCGTAGTAGAATGTCTCCAGAAGGGAGAGGAGGGGAGCCCGGCGGAAGGCTCCAGCAGTAGACCACCGAAGATGCGGAAAAGGGGACGCTTGGTTACAGCTGGACCCTTGGCAGCAGCAGAAGCTGGGGAGGGTGATGGGGAGGGAGAGGAGGAGGATGCTGAGATGAAGACTGAGGAGGAAGAGGGAACTGCTCTTGGAGCTACAGAGGAGGCTGCTGAGACGAAGGGTGATGACCGTCACGACGGGAAGGAGGAAGCGATAGTGATGCCGCTAGTGTACTGGGGAGGGGGTTCGTATAGAGTGTATGATGCTCGGTGGGGTAGGTACCAACTCGCGGACCCGAGTCGTGATCGATCTTCTCTGCATTGCCTCTCTCCTGTAGCGGCGATGCAGTGGTCTCCTGTATTTGATGGTCTACTTGCTACTGTCAATGGTGATGGACAAGTGGCTCTGTTCTGGTCGCCTATGGGAGGGGATGATAGTAGTGAGCAGAGAGAATGGAACAAATCTTCGGAGTGCGATGATGCGGATGGTCTTATGGGGTATCTTTTGGTGGATGCTAGTGCTACGTCGATAAACCTATTGTTACAGCAACAGGAAGGAGACGACTCGATGGGAGCAGCTGGTCAGCAACAAGCATACTTATCGTGGTCGGCGACCAAGGGGGAGTATTCGGTGTTGGCCGTGAGTGGCGAGAGTAGTAGGAATATAAGGCTTCGTTGGGTAGAGCGAACGCAGAAGGGCTTTGTGATTGCTGGCAGGGCAGAGCTGAAGTACTCTCAGGAAGGAGAGGAGAAGGAGGAGGGTGAGGGTGAGGGAGGGGGGTTTCACGCTGTTGAATTTTGTGGCACTGAGAGTGCTGGAGATTTGCCGGAAGTGGGAGGCAGTCCTATTACAGGAGACCTGCCGGAAGTGGGAGGCACCATCGCGGCCACTTCAACCTACCTTGCTGCGAGCATGGATGAGAGCGTGCTCATCTGGCAGGTGGATTGCAGTCGTCCGGGGGAGTCCCCTGAACTGATATGGACTGTCGAGGACACTTCTTCCTTTTCGATGGCTTGGTTGGGCTCTACTTATCTCGCCTTGGGAACTCTCTCGCCGTATACACTGCTGGTTGATACTCGTGATAACGCTCAGAAGAAGCTTTTCCTGGTGGGGGAAGGGGAGGAGGTGGAGGGCGGCAGCAGCAGCAGTAGCAATAGGTTCATATTAGAATGCTCATTCGATGACTCTGGCTCCAAGAGGCTTGCTGCTATCACCGACAGTGAGCCGACAGATGCCTATGTTACGGTATGGATGGACCCGACGGCCCGACGGCCTAATAAGCCTGTAGTGTTGAGGATCAATTCGAAGGGGGAGACGCCTCCTCTGCAAGCCCAGGAGATGATAAGATGGATGCCTGGTAGTGATGGGGATGTCCTGTGTGCGGCTTACGAGGGAGGGGTAGTGGTTGTATGGGATGTGCTCAATCAGTCGGTGCTTCATCGACTTCCCTGTATTGACACCATCACGGCAATAGAGTGGCAACGTGAGCTCTATTTGGGGCAGGAGGGCGAGGGAGGAGATGTTGTTGCTCCTCCACTTCTTGTTACGATGATGTTGGGGAAGAAATGTGTCATCTGGAGTGAAGGAAGGGTCGTATCGGCTTTCGACTTGCGATGTGATGATGAGAACGCCCCAGGGTACATAGCATGGTGCCCCACCTGCAACTACCTTGCAGCTAGTGCTGGTGGCAACGAGACGCCGCTTATATTTGATGTTAAACCGGTGGTGAAGGAAGCGAGTAGAAGGTTTATGACTAGTGTAAAACAACAGTAGTCAACGTGAATGTCTATCTATATTTTCCCGCTTATACGTGCAGTGTATTATTACCATATTTTCCGTAGTAACTCGATATTGTGTTGGGGGAGAATGCACATGGTCAACTACTAGGAAATGCTTATTGGTTTCTGTAGACTTCTCCTCATCTTCATAATACGCCGAGGAGAGGTCTGAGCTCAGCTGAAGAACAGATCTTATATGCCTCCAACGCTGGTGAGTTACTCGGATGCCGCGTTATGGTACGAGTGGGATCTCTGTGAAGACGGGCCTAGTAATAATCATGATTGTACGCAGACGATGTCGTCGTTACCGTAGCGTTAGCAGTAGTCTTGATGCTGGTATCATCAGAAGCTCCTTTATCAACTACTGCGAGGTCACAGGCACGATAGGGCCAACCTGGATGGACCCTCCTATAGGAGCCGCTGGTTTTACTCTTGTGAAAATGCATACGATCGAGCTGCAGCTTGGCAACTACTTTGGGTGGTCCCCCCCAGTGTGGAAAAACATGCACATGGTCAACTACGTCTTTGTGGGAATTCTGGGCGATGTTGCGCACAGCGCGCATCTGGTAGGGGTCACTTGCAGGTGTAGATACAGGAAGACTTTCCCGACTCAATCGAATTCTGATCTGTGTTAATACATGGCTCCTATTCATTCTGCGAAAACGGAAGATGAATGGTGATACCGCACAACTCTGAGGATATTTTGGCAAATTCTTGTTAATTTCTATACACTTCTACCCGCGGTCGTACGAACAAAAAGACGCAAAATTTCCCAGAAATTTCCTGAAATTTTTTTATAATGTCACAACCACACGTCGTCAAGCATGTGCAAATTTTCTCACACGGGTCACCCCAGCCGTCGGAGTAGATAAGCTATGCATCGAAGCTACGGCCCTCCTGGCGGCGCTTTGCCGCTGTGGGGTCTACTACGTGGCACTTGTGGTTTTGTATTTTATGCAGTGTCATGGCACTCCCTACTTGGGAGTAGTCCTACTCCCTCCTTCCTCCCTCGGTATTGTCTTGGTTGGTGATGACCACCTTAGAACGAAATATTGACAGTTGCCAAGTTCTGAGAATAATCTGTGTTGCTTGTCGTTGTTGGATGCTCACTAGGCATAGCCCTCATGCTGGTGTATGGCTGGGACTGCTCTACTCTCACAAGTGCAGTCGTGCTGTTGGTTGATCCTTCCACTTGTCGTGTTGGGGCCATGTTGCGTTCATAGTGAGCTCATGATGGTGATGGTAGTGTGATGGCCACGACGACGATGACGACAGTGGCGAAGGACAAGGGGAAGGAGTTGGCTCGGCTGCTGTCCGTGAGAGAGGACGTAGAAGCCCAACTGGTGAGGGCTCGCAAACGACTGAAGGTGCAGGGGGGCGGTGGGAAGCCATCGAGAGGTGGGAAGAAGTTATTCCATTTCACAAGGGTTCTACTCTGTCGGTCATCAGTTGGGATGAACGAGTTGCTGATAGAGGCTCGCAAGTTGACTCCAACGACGATACCCCCACCTTATATGACTTTCACTGTCGACGCCGGTCCGCAGGAGGCGCTGCCAGTGAGGAGCCATGTTCCTTTCCCAACCCTCGACGAGTTCAGGACTAGTAGTCTGTTTATGCATACTATACAGCAACAACAACAACAGCAGCAGCAGCAGCAGTTGGTCAAAAAGGGCGATATTGTTGCGAAGTAGCCGCTAATGCGTCTTCGCCAAGAGGTTAGTGATGGCTGTCAGGCCCCCTGCCAACCCTAGGGTGTCGACCCTTGAGGAGGAGAAGGCGAGTGCTCCTGCAGCCCAGCAGCCCCTCTCGGGACCTTCTGCACTACTACAGGTGATGAGAGTCTTGAATGATGGCTTCGTCAGGCGATATGAAAATTGAAAGGACATTCTGGGAATTTCTGACTGTTTGTGTACAATTGAACTCTCGAGCTCATATGAGGAAACTTCACACTGTCGTCAGGCATCAAGGATGGCTGCTGCAGCAGCCGCTGCTGCTGCTGACTTGTCGTCCTCGTCATCATCATCTTCTGAATCTGGCAGTGATAGTGAGGGCGACGACTCGTCCGAGGATGAGCTCACGGACTCCTCCTCCTCTGCATCGGCCGTCGATGACCTCACTGTAGAGCAACAAGAGCCGACTGATGGAGGCAAGACTGAGGAGAAGATTTCGCCGCCGCCTCGGCCGCCAGTAGCAGCAGCCTCGGATGATGACGATGATGATGAGGAGTATGCGGGAGAGTTTGATTGAATTCAGCGTGTTGTGTTTATAAGGGCTCATCCAAGCAAGTCGGAGTCAATATCATCAATCGTAAATGGGTACTTTCCGCTGTGCGTAACGAAAAATTGGTACATTCCATCTCTTCGGCATGTGGCCATTTCTTCAAGACAACCGTTGGGGAGCAATGCCTCTGTTGAACTGATTTGAAGGAATGTTCATTTTGGCGGCACCCTTTTGTCCTTCTTGTGTATTTTCAATCAAGGCAGATCTTGAAGAGGATGGATGAAAAACACAAGTTACATATTTCATCGTTTGCCCTTCGAAAGCAGATATCAACTCGCGGTGGGAGTCGGATAGAGAAACCGATTTCGCGGAGAAGTAAATCAATTTCATAATGAAGGAATGCACTTAGACGAACATGAATTTCGGGTTAGAGTTTCCATGATGACGCTTCACGCCGTGCAACCTCATGAGTCACTCCTGAAGGGAAGCGCAGCTGTTGCTGTGAAATCAGCTCGGGAGTTTTCAAAACTACATTATGCGAATTTACACACGATTTGGGGTAGAAGTATACTAAAATCTACACAAAGTACACGTAATTGACCGTCTGTTCCACAAACGCTGACAGGGGCCCTCACCCTGTCAACATGAGTACACCACAACCCACCACTTCAGAGGCCTCGCTAGCAGTCAGGCTGAAAGTCCGAATTCGTGTGCGTGTGAGAGTACTACGACATCGATGCACATGGTTTTAGCCGTGTTTAAATTGCGTCTACTTTTATCATGCCAATGAGTTTCGTCCACAGGGCGAAATGACCTCTGCTAATGTACTCCCTTTCCTCTCGGGAGGATCCAAATTCGTCCCTACCACAGCCACACTCGATAGCTCTACTAGAATGCTAACCCCCAAAGAGAATTGCTGTGGTTCGTCTTTCTGACGATCTTTATCCGTCATTGAAAACAATCAAATTACCCGACATAACGATCTCATTGACGCTGTTCCAGGAACCATGGAGTAAGCAGTTGCATACCACTCCTTGTTCACATCACCTCACGAACTTAGTCACCATCATTCCGTCGAAACCTAGGCAGATCAGGGACGGCTCTCAGGTGATGAACGGAAGGAGTGGTATCGTAATCAACGTGAACAGCACCACAGCCTCGGTATATAGTAGTTACTCATTGCCAAGAAATTTTGGTATTCCGACATGTTCTCGTCAGACTGAACGGCAATTCGACTACTTCCGAATTAGGCCTATCTAAGGACAGACCCTCCTATCGTCAAGACTGTTGTGTTTTCGCATGGAGCAATCACTAGGACTGCCACCAAAGTCAACTTTTGAATATCACATCGAATTTTTCGCGGTACGTAACTTCCGATGAGTTGTCGAACGCGGTCGCTCTGGAGTAGACTCGCCAAATCGCAGTTTCGTATTATCTGTCACCGCCTATACATGAGCCCTGGGGAGCTTGGTGATACCTTTTGTGACGGAATAACTCAAGTAAAAACGTTCCTTCCCAGGAAACTATACCGACTCATACACACTAAGCGTCATCCCTCTATAGCATCAAATAGGATCTAGTATTGATGATGGGCATGAAGGAGAAGGCCAGGGGGAAGATGGGCAGAAGGAAGGCCACCTACAGAGAAAATACTCCTAGCAGTTATTAATGTTGGAGGAATAAATGCTCGCTCCTCGAAGCTCGAGAGTTTCCTCACTAATTATAAAACTTTACATATGAATTCGGGCGTAAGAAAAAGTGTTGAAAAACCAACAAGAATTTTCCCAAATTTTTCATATTTTCCCACACACTGGTAGTAACAGATGCTCACCAGATAGAGAGTGAACACATGGTCCTTCAACACCATTTCGGGCAATAGTGAGAATGCGAAATACGACACCGTCAACCAGGTAGCCACGAACAGGAGGTCCGCGAAAAGGTTCTGGAAACAGGGCGTGGGAGCGAAACTCATGACCAGGTACCTGATAACAAGCAGTGAAACACTAGCGATAGAAAGCTGCCCTACAGGAAGAGCATGAAGTAGTTGTGTTGGAATGCCCCTCCACTGCTCATCTTCTGACCGAGCTGAAGGGCCACGTAACCGGCCCCTAGAACTGCGGGAATCGTCAGGGCGACTTGGCCGATCTGGGCAGGGCTGGCGGCTGCCAAGGAGAGGTAGCTGAGGGCCACACCTAAGGGGCAAGGAGTAGGGGTCTAGGGTAGAGGCAGTAGTAGTACCAGGGGATAAGGGGTCTAGGAGGGCCCTAGCCGCATCGAAGGCGGCGTACCTAGGGAGAGGAATAATGGCAAGTTGGTGATGGTCCCTAGTACGGTCTGGCAGCCCACAACCCAACCGTGGCTATCCCTCTAGAATGCTGCTGTAGGGCTGGCTGGATACGAGGCTGCTCGGGACGGTAGGAGGCCCAGGAGCGCCACATGGGGGGGCCTGGGATATGGTCATGGTTAACGTACTGTTATTATCCCTTACTTTGCTGAGTAGTGGTAGTAGTAAACATTCTACTACTGCTACTGCTGCTGCTGTTGAGCCATAGTGGCGTCTTAGTATATAAGCCGGTAGCAGTAGGCAAGGCCCATCTGGACATCATCCTTAAGGGCGTCACCCCTTTAAACAGCATGCTGGTGGCCATAGTGGGAATGGGATCCAAAAAAGAACCGGAAGTACACCGTAGTGATGTTACTTATCAATCAGGCCCACAGAAGGAGGTGCCAGAGGTCTCTCCTAGATAGGTTCAAGTGTCGGGATTAAAGAACAGCACGTGTAACGCCATGAAAATGAATTTAGCGCGCGCCCGATAGACTTCAACATCATTATGGAGGTTGTAAGAAGGGAGCTTTTCTATGCAGTCTGGGGAGGGGATAGTCACATGGTCAAGTACAGGTGTTGGTGACAGTGTGAAAATTCTGAGGAAATTTCGGGAAATTCTGGTTGGTTTCTGCACACTTCTACCCGAATTCGTATGTAAACTCTTATAATTAGTGAGGAAACTCCCGAGCTCAGCTGAGGAAAGCGAGCATACATATTGTTCTTCATACGAGTGAAGTTGCTATTGTTTCTAGTCACTTTGCCCCACAGTGGAACTCATTGATATCAGTTGGTTTTATAATTATTCCCTTTTTTTGAGTAGAAGTGATTCTTGTGCCAATCGCGGTTGTTTTTGTCACTAAAATGGTACTTTTTTGATAACAACAGATTCCTAGGAAAGTTATATGCAGCTGAAGGCATCAACTGTGTGTGGCTGCAGATGAAAAGTAGCAATGGTGTGGTATGAAAATAGTCATGATAATGCAGGGGTAGAGGAAAGCTCCTACTGCACGGTGAGGGCGACTAGAAGTGGTGGAAAGAAAGCGGGTTCTACCCAAGAAAATAAGCACTTAGTTAATCATAACCTTCCGTGAAATATGACTACGGTCAACCACACGTATGTGGACGAGAAAGTATGAAAATTTTTAGAGGAAAATTTGGGAATTTTTCTATCGGGTTTCTGGACACTTGTGAAATTAATGACACTTCTGAGTTGAGCTGAAAACAGCGAGCATACACTCCAACATTCTCCTGCCATGTTCTCTTGGTGCTATTAGGTTCAACGTGCATCTTCGGAAGAATTCCAAAGAAGCTCTATTGACGTCTTCAACGATATCAAGCGGTTAAGAATTGATGACGGCATTCGTCTGCTCTCTACCATAACATCTGTTGAATGTCGATAATTCAACCGGAAGCCATCGAGGTGAAAATGATGTTCCTAGTGTGATGACGTTAACATTGGGAACTGATTAAAGTATGTGTTCCTAGCCATACGTGGAAAAATCAAAATCAGTTTCTTCGGAGAATGCTATGGGTTTCTGGATGTTTCCCAGTTCAATCGCACTAGTTTTATGAAGTGTTGTGCTAGTCTATTGAATCCGTGAACTCGTCCGAAAGTTATTATGAAGAAGCATGCCGTCACTAACGTGGCTGCAATGCTGGGGCGGCGAGGGTACATGGTCACTAACAGGAGTACACTTCTTAGAAAGCCTCTCATCTCGAGGGCAGTACTGATATTCAATCGCAATCTATCTGGACTTGGTAGTAGCAGCAGTGAAGGGGTCGGTTCGGTCGAGGCTGCGGGTGGGAAGTCGTTTGCCACGGTAGTAGTGGCGAAGGCGAGGACGTTGGTAAAAGCAGCGGAGAAGGATGGCGATACGGTGGTTTCAGAGTGGCAGCAAATACATGCGTAATAATCATGATGATGGCTATCGGGAAAAATTCTTGTGAATTTTAGGGAATTTCCCAAGTACTACCTTTTAGCGCCTATTCCTCAGCTTGGGGCCTTCTTGGCGTTACTTCATTCCGGGTATAGTGGCAGTGATAACGACACGTTACGGAAGGTTGTTGGGAATACCGAGACTGTATATAAACTTCTAAGTCGTTTGGTAGTCGTTGAGGAGGGCGGCTCGAGCGTTGCCCCGATCGACGAACTCGGTAGCAGCGAAGTGGCCTCGCTGTTGTTTTTCTCATTGCCGTTCATTAAAGTTGATATAAGTTTATATGCATGGTGGAGGCAAGCGTGTTATAGGAGGCTGTTGGCGTTGCTGAAGGCATCCCAAGGCACCCCTCAAGCGGTGGCCTGGTCGATAAGGTCCGTTGGGGTCATCAGGGCTTGTCAAGATGACGTACCGGGGTCGGCAGAGGAAGAGTTGTGGGTATCACTAGTGCACATGTTGGCGCAGCACAAGGAGGTGTTCAATATTGATAAACTGATGGAATGTTTGAGGGGAATCGAAGATGCTTACAGCGCCCGATTTCCGATGAAAACGATGGTAGAAACGACTCTGAGGGCGCTCAGTGAGAGGATAGCAAATCTCGCGACAAGTTCGGGGGGTATTACTGCTGAGGATGCGGCTCTCGTTCTGAGGGTTTGGGCAAAATGCCGAGTCTGCGATGAGAAATTGATGATTGTGCTGTCGGATGTTGTACGGAGTGATACTATGAGGAGTGGCGATGGCGGGCTCTCTCCTGAGGGTTTGGTGAACGCGATGTACGGCTTGGTGAAATTCCATCAGCAATTTGGTGGTAGAGAAAAAAGCGGTAGTAGTATGATCGACTTGCTCGCGGTGCGTGCACGACGAAAAATGAAGGATTTCACGTTGGAGCAAATCGCGCAATTCTGTTCGTCATTGGCGAAAAGTAGAATAACTAACAAAGTGATCGCGACTATGGCGGCTGATCGAGTCGTATTGGAGACTACCACTGCTGCTGCTGGTGAGCATCATGATAACTGTTATATCAATTCTAAGGAGGTTCGGAAGAGTGCGGTATTGGGCTTGCCGGCATTACCGTTGTATCGGGTGGTGAACTTATATGTTGCCTTTGGAAGGTTTTCTCATAAAAGTGGTAGATTTTGGTGTGTTATGGACGCGGACCTGATGCGAAGATACAACAACGGTGAGCATTTACGATGTTTGCTTTTTGTTATCAGATCCCCTAATAGGTACGTTGTTGACTGAGTCCTGTGGTAAAGTGACGGACTTGATAGAAGTCTTGGCGGCTCACAGCGCGGTGGTCACTTCTTCCTCAGCAGTTGAAACCACAGCTGACGTCCAAGATGGTATAGCCTCGGTTTCGATGACTGTGATGGTGTGTGTTGGCTTTAGGGTATCATACTCGTCTTGCAGGGTATACTAGGTCGATCGGCAACATACCTCCCCCGACGCCCTCCGCCACTCTATGTGCTGCCATCACTTCTACCATTCTGTCGATCACACATCGTGACTCCACTGAACGCCAATTGCTGTCACCACGAGAGGCTTTGGGGTATCTTGTTGCGGTTGGTAAGATCGGCTACCGCGACGCCTCAGCCGTCGAACTGTGTCTTGCATCGTTACGGGCGATGACTACCACTACTACACCAGCGTATGTTGGTCTGACGTTGACTCAGCATATGCAGCTCGATACAGCTCTGATGAGGCTAGGGGTTCAATGCAACGATTTGTCGGAGTTCTTGAAGAGTCTGTTGCCGAGGGCGAACGAGGCTGGTTCCCTCACGAAGGAAGAGTCCAGAGGCGCGTGGTCGCCGACGATAATTCGGAGGTGATCAGTTCGTTTGAGAAGTGTAGTGGTATTGGTATTGTTTCAGACGAGATGCTGGTAAGAAGAGGAAATTGAGTTGTCGAAAAAGGAAGAATGTTTGGTGATCTTCGGTTGCATGTAAATGTTTCTGTTGACAAGTTTCTTCTTATCCCCGAGTAGTCGAGTTTGATAGTCGTACGAAGATTTCTATAAGTGGCTAACACATCGGAATCAAATCTAACAGAGTTGGCGACGCCGTTGAACTTCGAACTGCCATACACACGACTTCCCCCCTAAACGATAGAAGTGGCACATCTCTTAATACACACAAACTCGTAATGACGTACAAACAAGCACCTCAGAGTTACGTTTTGGACCATCAGTCACGATCGCTCTCGTTGGGTTGTATCTGCCTTCTCGCTCTTTGAACTACTACTAAGACCTGAACAAGCGGCTTGTTCAAGATCGACAAGATCAGCGTGGTCATCAGTGGCGATGTTCTCAGCAGTCGTGTTTTCTAACAGACTGCGCGTTGCACCCAGCATTAGGGCGTCTAATGGTCATTACTATGTTGAAACTTTACACACAACAACCGCTTTGCTCCGAAAAGGAGTGCATCGTTCATGATCATGGAACGGGGGGGCTACAAGATGGTGTGAGCAGCAGTCTTAGGGATGATGTAACTGACAGGAGAAGGGGCATCAGCGTTGATGCCGTATGACGCTTACAGCTGATCTCCAGGGGTCATGGCGAGGTTCGGTCGAGGACAGGTGATTACGAATGGCAAGCACTGTTGCAAGGAGGCATCGAACACGGAGGATCCTCTGTATATTCCAAGGCAGATCGAACCCTCATCGTAAAGGTCGAAGAAAACCCTCGAAAATCTGGATACGAGGATAGCGATGGTTCGGATGAGAGATCCTTACGGAGCCCCCCAATGCCGAACTGGACAATCGACGAGTTCAAATGTGTGGCGACCACCACCGAGCGATTTGCCGCTGATGAATTGCTTCACGATGTCGATGGTAAGCATGTGTGAGCTGATGCCGGGCAGTTGACAAATCAGACTTTGGAAAACAGCATTGGTGACACTGAGGAGAGCGACGATACGATGAAGAAAAGAAGTGGTATGACTCACACTCTTCCCGCAGCATACTCGGCCGACTCTCGGAAATTCACAACACCTCCTGAACTTATAGTGGCGTATATATCTTCAACTTCGCTCACCTCCATCGGGAGTCCATCGTGATACATCGGCTAACCGTAGTGACCTGTGATCGCACAACTCGAGGAGAATAGGCGTCCGCGAGGCGGCTGGTGACAGTGTGCTGAGGAAGATGGTATTGCTATCTTATGGCCGTGAACTCACCTGCAGGTGGTGAAAATTATAGGCTCTTGAATGCCCTTAGCGAGAGCTGCCGCTTTATGAGGATTTGCTGCGTTTCCAAAGCGACGAATGATATCAGGATTACTGATAGTCGAGTTTCTCTCTACTAGGGCGGCTCTATAGCTTGCTTCGAAGATGCTTTCCCTCCTACGTCTACCCAGAAGTAAGCTCTTTGCCGGGGCTCTACCCTTCCATCGTAAACCTGGCACTAGTCTCGACAGAACTCCCCTTTTTCGCGCCGTGCCGTTATCCAAAACCAGAGTGCCGCTTCTGAGCCGGCCGAAAGTCTTCGAACGCTTCAAGGCGAGGCTCGTTCGAAGTTGACCACTTTTTTGCGTATAGATTTTAGCCTTTTTCGCTGATATAGCCGACGATTGCCTCTTGAAAAAGTTTAGTCTGTGTCCAGCAGTCAATAATTGGAGCTCTCCTTGCTGTTCTTGAGAGGTACCGTTTCTCGGCACTACACTCGCCATTGATGAGCGCTTACTGTAAGCCTCTTTATTCGCCTTCACCATCATTAACACGGATCTCACCGTCCATAAGGCAAGAACGACTTCGTCATCGCTTTTGGAACTTGCCGGTCTTCGGCGACACTTGTTCGCAGGAGTAGTTATTGTAGCCATTGCTGTTTTCTGAGGGCCAACCGATGGCCCAACTTGTTTGATCCCACCAATCCCGTCTCTTCCAGCAGAGGTGGCTTGGTAGGGCTGATGATTATACTGCTGCTGATTAGTGCTGAATGGAGAGGTTGTTGGGAGGCTGTTGCAGATGCACACTGAATCAGCCACATTCACCCCAGCTCGAAGTAGGTCAACATGATCGTGAATCGAGCCACGTATATACGCCAAGAACGGCAGGAAACGTTCAAGGGCATCGAGATGGGACTTTACCAGAGTCGGACCAACTGAATGGTCACCAATGATGGCATCGACTGGACTCACAGGCGACAGCACAATGATTAATGGAAGGGGACGATGACAGTGAGAGCAAGAGGACGTCGCTGTGATCTCCTTGTCAATGTCGCATGGTCTTGGGCGTGGTAGACTTCTGAAGAGGTTGTCCAAGAAATGCAGTAGCATACGGCTTTGATAGCCAAGTAAGAGTATAATCCTTGGTGGTGACACTTCGCCGATGGTAGCAGGAGCGACCTCGTCACTCACATTGGAAGACCCTTCCACTGTTTGATTATATCTGTAGTGTACAAATGTAATGACGGTGACACAATGGTGACAGCAGCAACTACTTTGTCAATGCTTGGGACACATCTAGGCACTCCAAGCGGCGGTTTAGAGCCTCCCAGTCTCTTGTTGTTGCCCTAGTGGAATTGTCGATGTGTCTTTCCTCACTTGAAAACATCGACGTCAATGCTTCTCCTCGCACTGGACCATCGTCTTTTGCTGTCGAGGACTCGAGCTCTATTTTAGTTTTCCTTCTGAGTGCTGTGGACCTCTTGAGAGCTCTCTGCAGTAGTCTCGCTCTGTGCAGTTCGTATGATAAACTGGCGCTATCAGCATCACTATCATCCCATTCCTCGGCGCATCCTGTCGGACAGCACCTAGACCGTAGGGAATCTCGGCCTTCACCGTTCTCGTGTGATGAAGCTGATGGCGTCGGTTTGGGCCTCATGAAACTCGGTCTGTCTGATGGACTGGTAGTATTATCCGAATTATCGTTAGCATGAGAAAAGACATTAGGTAGATCGTCCTCGTAAACAACACTGACACAATCGTCATCGTCATCATCATCTTCGGAGTCTGCCAGGTGACGTACAGACGACCTCTTTGTGGTCTTCTTCACTTTGGTCACACAAGAAGGCGGCCATGTCGCATAGTACTGCAGCGTCTCCATTGTCGTATCACTGTCACACAAAACCAGCAAATCAGCATAGCAATCTTCCTCTTCTTCTACCAAACTCGCCATCGACGATCGCTGCCGCTGCTCGTCACCAGAGCTCTCATCGGCTTCGTACAAGAGTGGAGCTGTGAAAATAGTGACAGGGTCTGGGTTCACCAACAACACCTTGTCAGCATACATATTCCCTTCCTTTTCTGGTGGTACTAGTAAACCTAGGAGTAATACTCCATAGGAATGATAAAGGTGCTCTACCGCTCTTTTATAACGTATCATACATGTCACCGTTGACATTGACGCCGGATCCTTCCTTTCCACTTCTTCATTGCTTATAGGTGGGCACCGTATGACCATGAGCCTATACTGAGCTCCTCTAGAGTAGTCAGCAAGACCACTGGCTTCCTCCCTCAGCGCCATCCCGCCCAGAAAACCTCCTTTGTTCGCTCCTATTTCCGAGACCGTCGGGCTTATAGGTGACATTGGATCGGACTCGGGCCGACTATATGTTTCACGTTTCTTCCTCGTTTGCTGTTGTTGCGATGGTGGCGGTGGTATTCGGTCGAATTTGGAAACTAGATTCCCGATCAACGCGGGAAAGCCCTTGATGCCAGCACAGTGTCGCGCCATAAGTTGCTCTCTGAACTCAGCCGTACACAGCACCCCTCCAACGCCTTGTTCTTTTATCAATCTTTCATACTCGACCGTATTGGTGACGACCATCACTCTTCCCATCATTTCTTCTCTAAAGAGTGTGCCTCGTTGCCCTACAGTGGCAGGTGTGAAGATTCGCGCTAGCGACAGCACACGTATAAGCGTCATCTTGTCCTCAATAAGGCCATAGCTATCACGACTGTTGACGCTCGATGTCGTGGTCGAGTACAGGCGAGAATTAGAACATATGGTTGAGGTCACCGAGGGACCCGACGATGGTGGCGGAGTAAGCACGTAGATGGCCGCAGCCAGATCCAGTCTTACAGGGAGCGTATTAGCTGTCCCCAACGTGGCGGCATAAACGACGAATTTGGTTTTGCTGTTCGAGCTCGACGATGAGGATGCTGAGTTGTTGGTGTACCCAGTGTTGGCTCCAGAGGTCGAGCTCTCGAGCGATGCCGGACGATAAGCCGAGGCGAAATCGAATCTTCTGATGTAGAGATGGATGCCCAGGGCCGTACACGTCTCGTTGAGTTTTTTACAAGTCTACGAGGAACGAGTTAGAGTAGCTGAGGTACGACGAAGGTCGACCCCCCCCCCCCCCTTACCTGTTCATGGGGTAGATCGGTGGTAGTAATGACTAGCACTGGCGGGGCCCCTTCGTAGAACTTGGTGGAGTAAAGCTCTTTGATGAGGCTTTGTATTAGTACTAGGTCTACTCTATCACATACCATGAGGATGTGATGTGAGGAGCTGTTGGGGACAACGCCGTATCTGATGGTCATGATGATGATGACAATGATGATGATGATGATGATGATGATGATGATGATGATGATAATAATAATAATAATGATGATGATAATAATGATGATGATAATAATGATGATGATGATGGAAATGATAATGGAAATGATAATGGAAATGATAATGGAAATGATCATGGAAATGATAATGGAAATGATAATGGAAATGATAATGGAAATGATCATGGAAATGACCATGGATGATGGAAATGATGATGGATACTAATTCGAGATCATCAGTATAATTACCATTACTGATGTCACCGATATCAATATCATCATGATGATGTTGAAGACCTTACTGGATATGATCCTCCGCCAAAATAAACATAAGCTTCTTTACTTGAAATGTGACCAAGCTCAGCGTGAGGGCGATGAAGACGAGTACCAGTATCCTACCTCGGAACGTAACTGGAGCAAAGTCGCCGTACCCCACCTGAAATATCATGATTAGACAACAAGTCGATTATCTGTTCGTCAAAGGCATCAAGAGCTCGATGAATATAGTGGTAGTGTTCAGTAAAAGTGTCACGTTTGAGTGCTCATATCTTACCGTTGACATGGTTATGATGAGGAAGTACACAAAGTCTTCATAGGAGATAAAATGATCTTTTCGTCCGATGGTACAGCTCTCTTCGTTGAATATGGCGCCAGAAAACATGAGTAGTAGTGAGAGTACCCCGAGAGCTATGGAGACAACTTGTCGTGTGGTCATTCCCATGTTAGGGAAGAGTATCTCGAACGTTCGTTCCATACCGTATAGTCGGAGAAATCTTATGAACCCATACCTGTATAGAAAGGTGTCGATGATGATGATAATGACGATGGCAATAATCAGTACCGGACGAAATACGTTTCCGAGTCGAAGTCGAAGTTGGCTGCTTTCGAGCAGAACCAGACTAGTAGGCTCAAGGCTGGCATCGTGAGGATGTCAGTCCAGCATGCTACGGTTTTGAAGTACTCATTTTTGTTACGGGAAACGTAGTACAGAATGCACCAATCGACGTTGACCATCCATAAGAAGACTCGCTCTATGTTATCAAACCTGCTCAAATTCTTCTGTGCTTGTCACGGGTTCCCTACCACGCTTGGGTCCATTCGTAAGGAAAAGAAATAACCCAGTCGCAAGGCTCCGTACCCGATGGTCCGCATACATCTTCGACCAGACCCTCCCCGCTGCATTCTCTAGTCCTGAAAGATTGTCAGGTTGTTCACCCTGGCGGACAGTCGTAGTACATGGTTCGTGTGACGAGGACATAAAGAGTGCACCAGAGTATGGTTCGTGAAACTCGTGATATGAGGTATGGCTCAGAATCGGACAGGCGTATAAGGGTCCGGTTGAAGTTGTCCAGAAGCCTCTTGAAACGCCTGATTGGCATTAACGTCATTGATGATGGTGTTACTAATAACGCACCGTTGAGACGATCGCATCCTCCTCCTGAAATTTCCCTGTGCTAAGGCTAGTTCTTCTTTACTTTGCGTCGCTTTGCGGGTCTGTCTGGCACTGCTATTGCTGGTTTTATGCAGACCACCGTTGAAGGTAACCATTCGATCCGGCCTCCTAAGCGACTGGTCGTTAGATGGTACTTCGTCCTTGTGAGCTTCATCGCTTGGCACTAGCGTTTGCCCTGGTAAGTTCATAGCGTCGCTATTATCATCGTGGTCATTCTTTGCGTTTAACGGTTTAGTTCTGTCTCCTCTGATCATTTTTTTCACAATCTTTTCGTCGTTTTCATCCTCTTCTTCTTCTCCCGAGTCGGTATTTGAGATGCCGTCTAGGAAAGCCATAAACCCTCCGCCGATCATACCATAGCTGTCGTCACCGTCAACACCACCGTGCCGACATAAGCGGTATCTAACCCTTCCATAGTGCACCAGAGTAACACAAATATGATAGTATCACATCCTCACTGTTAGTCTTATTATAATGATCGTTCCTAATTGAACCACCATGCTGATACCAAAATAACCGATAGATTGCAAAACGTCATTTAGTTGTTCCCTCAAGGGCTCTTCCGTGCAAAGGCAAGTACTAACTATGAGCTGTGAGATCAAACAATACGCTATTATCAGCCCTTGTACGGTCGGACGTGATAGGAATGTCGTAGTTGTGATACTGTCGCTTCTTCCTTGTGATCTGTTATTGAGATTAGTACTGCTCTTGATCGGTGGAGGTATTCTGATGAGCGATTCTACTAAAATTTTTATGGATTCTCATCGGCCAAGGTCACCTTTTTCGCCACAGATTACTCGCAAAAAGATCTTCATCCTGCCCGATCGAACCCAGACTGCTGCCAGTTAAGGTACGATTCATTATAAAAGACTTATAGAAGACCGTGGATGGCTGACGCGAAATGCAAATCGATTAAAATGGCGTGCGCTTTTTTAGAAAATCGGTTCAGCTTATGGTAAGGTCGGGGTTTTGACTGCAGCCGAGGATAAGTATTGTCTATTCGCAGTGGGTTTTAATTTCTCTTCTGAGGACTCTGACCTTCCATCGCTGATCACCTTAGTATCAACGAGAGCTGCATCCTGAATAAAACTTCGGTTATGAAAACTAAGACTAGTCGCGCTGGTGACAAGAAGCTAGATGACGACACGATAAGGAGACTGGCCTACGCGAGAAACTATCAAGAAACGTTGGATTTCTTCAACGTCACTCTCGAGAAGGGCTTATCGGATGCTCAAGTCCAGGCTCAAGCTGCCAAGTTTGGTCCCAATGAACTGGACAAAGTATTTGCGAAGATCACTAGGAATATGGAAATGTGTATTATATTTGTTTTCAGACGGAAGGCAAGTCCCTGTTGGCTCTTATATTGGAGCAGTTCGACGATTTGATGGTGAAGATCCTGCTAGTGGCAGCATTCATATCGTTTCTCCTGGCATATTTCGATGATGAAAACAACGACGAGGGAATGTTGGCGTAGGCTAAGGCGTGCGCTGTTATTAATGGCACTCTTCGTGGTAGGTATGTAGAGCCCCTGGTGATTCTACTCATTCTGATTGCCAATGCAATAGTAGGCGTCTGGCAAGAGACCAACGCTGAAGCCGCCCTAGAGGCTCTCAAGTCGCTACAGCCGTCTTACGCACACGTACTGCGAAATAACGGCACTTGGGTGACGCAAGATTCGACATCACTCGTCCCTGGAGATATAGTTGAAGTTAGAGTAGGTGACAAGGTGCCTGCTGACATCAGACTGTGTCGTCTGCGCACTACTACGTTGCGGGTCGAACAGAGTCAACTGACGGGCGAGAGCGTGACTGTTAGTAAGGACGTCGATGCTGTTGATGATGACGATGAGGGAACTTGCGAGATCCAAGGAAAAGTCAATATGCTGTTCTCCTCGACTGCGGTGGCTAACGGCTGTGGTATTGGCGTTGTTGTTGGTACTGGTATGAATACTGAGATCGGCGACATCCAGAAGGCGGTCACTGACGCAGCTGAGGAGGACCAGCAGACTCCTCTGCAAATGAGGCTGGAAGAGTTTTCTGAGCTTCTTGCGAAAATTATTTTCATTATTTGTTTTATCGTGTGGGTGATCAACTACAAGCACTTCTTCGACCCTGTTTACGGGTCCTGGTTCAGGGGGTGTATCTACTACTTCAAGGTCGCCGTCGCTCTCGCTGTTGCTGCTATCCCTGAAGGCTTACCCGCTGTCATCACTACATGTTTGGCGTTGGGCACAAGGAGAATGGCTAAGAGGAACTGCATTGTCAGGCGCCTACCATCAGTTCAGACCCTCGGGTGCACTACTGTGATTTGCTCTGATAAAACTGGCACGTTGACGACCAACGAGATGTGTGCAGTAAAATTTGCGACGCCCTCAGCCTCTTCTGCTGGTGTGCTGAACGTCTATAACGTTGATGGTGTGAGCTACACTCCTCTAGGGCAGATCAGACCGTCCTTGGCGCCGCCTGAATCCAACAACACGGGCTTGGCAGAATTTGCTAAGTGCGCCGCTCTTTGCAATCAGAGTCGATTACGATATAGTGACGATCTGGGTGATGGTGATGTTGATGATACTATCGAGAGTGAAAGTGAAGAAGGGGGAAATAAGAAGCCGAAGATACGGCGCACGGGAGAGCCTACTGAGGCTGCTATTCGTGTTTTGGCGGAGAAAATAGGATGCCCTGACAAGGAATTGAACCGGCGTTGTCTGCAGGTAGGTGGTAAGCAGGTTAGGTCGATGTTCATGGCTGTCTGCTTTCAGTCGGAGGAGCGCTCGGCGAAGGACCTGCAGGCATTTTCTCACTACTGGTCATCACGGTGCAAGCTGGTGGCGACGTTGGAGTTCTCGAGGGATCGTAAATCTATGTCGGTGTTGGTGAAGGAGAATGAGCGCGATGAGAATACTCTGTATGTGAAGGGCGCCCCTGAAGTGATATTGGAGCGGTAGGAAAAAAACTGAATTCAGTGTCGTGTGGTTTTACTTTTGTTTTTCTTCGATCAGATGCACTTCTATTATGACGCCCGACGGAAGTGTTAAACCGCTGAATAAGGAGACGAAGAAGGTCATCTTAGATGACTATGTGGAGAAAATGGCAGGTGATCTCATAGAGTTCACTTTGTGATGGTGATGATGGTCATAGTGCTGTTATCCAGGTGAAGAGGCTCTTCGAACGCTCGGCTTGGCTGTAAGGAAGGAGCTGGATCCGCGGTTGGCACATTTCAAGGGAATTGATGTTGATCCTGAAAATGGCAGTCTTTTGAAAGACCCTGCTAACTTCGTGAAGGTTGAGCAAGAGATGACCTTCTTGGGGCTGGTGGGGTTGATGGACCCTCCACGACCTGAATGCCGACCGGCGATAGATAGTTGTCGAGATGCTGGTATAAGTGTTATCATGATTACTGGTGACAACAAGCTTACTGCCGAAGCCATTGCGAAGGACCTTGGCATTATATCGGCTGGGAAAAACGCGGTGAGTTTGACGGGAAGGGAGTTCGATCAGCTGAGTGACAATGAGAAAACGGCGGTGTTGAGGAAGTGCATGGACGAACAAGGCGGAGTTTTCTCACGAACTGAGCCAAGGCATAAACAGGTGAGAAGAGTTGTGGTTGGTGTGGTAGTAGTAATTGTTGTTATTCAGGTTATTGTTAGAATTTTGAAGAGTCTTGGTGAAGTTACTGCTATGACTGGTGACGGAGTTAATGATGCCCCTGCGTTGAAAGCGGCTGATATTGGGATTGCCATGGGCATCTCAGGAACGGGTAGGTCCAGTTTGCTCTGGAGTGATTATTGGGATTGTTTGTGAGGAAGAGTTTGGTGCATTTGATTCCTCGAAAACGATTTTACGGTATGAATTGGCGATATTTTTTGAGTATGGATTCGGGAGTTCTGGTTTGTGTCGGTGTTGTTGGTGTAGGAATATGTTAGTACTCCTCAGCGGAGCTCAGGAGGTTCCTTACTAATCATAGGAGTTTATATGCGAGGGCACAGAAACCAACAAAATTTCCTCAGAATTTTCATATTAAGTAGTTGACCATGTGCATATTTTCCGAAACTCATCGGTGTTCCTTTTCAGAGGTAGCCAAAGAGGCATCGGATATGGTTTTGACTGATGACAATTTCTCAACGATCGTAGCAGCAGTCGAGGAGGGTCGTAGTATATACAGCAATATGAAGGCGTTCATTCGGTATCTAATTTCGAGCAACATTGGTGAAGTTGCCTCCATCTTCTTTACAGCAGCACTGGGAATTCCGGAAAGTCTAACACCTGTTCAACTTTTGTGGGTTAACTTGGTAACGGACGGCCCACCGGCGACCGCGTTAGGGTTCAACCCGCCGGATCTGGATGTTATGAAGAGGCCACCGAGGAGGAGTGATGATAAACTGATTTCGGGATGGGTGTTTTTCCGATATTGTGTTATTGGTAT